GGGTCAGGACGTCTGGGGCTGGGGGGTGGCAGGGCTCTGAGATGCGGCTGGGGATGAGGGGTTTGGGATGCAGGAGGGGGCTCTGGGTTTGGGGGGGCTCAAAGCTGGGGCAGGGGATTGGGGCACAGGGTTGGGGTGCAGGATTACCTCGGGCGGCTCCCGGTCAGCGGCGCAGGGGGGTGCTAAGGCAGGCTTCCTCCCTCTCCTGGCACCGCAGATCGCGCCGCGCCCGAGAAGCGGCCAGCAGCAGGTCCGGCTCCTAGGTGGAGGCGCGCAAGCAGCTCTCGCCCGCAGGCACCACCCCCCGATCTCCCATTGGCTGGTTCCCGGCCAATGGGAGTGCGGAGCCGGTGCTCGGGGCGGGGCAGCACATGGAGCCCTGTGGCCCCCTTGCCTAGGAGCTGGACCTGCTGCTGGCTGCTTCCGGGACGCAGCGCGGTGTCAGAACAGGTAGGGACTCGCCTGCCTTAGCCGGGCAGCACGGCCCACAGGACTTTTAAAGGCCGTGCTGACCAGAGCCACCGCGACCCAATGCCTTCCATTCCACGACCCAGTACTGGGTCGTGACCCACAGTTTGAAAACTACTGATCTAGCGAGTTGCTCGTGCGATCTCCACTGTCATCCGTCTTTGTCTTTGCAGCCTCCAATTTCCACGCCTAGTTTATGATCCCTGTTTTTGCATTGGGTCAGAGTCTGTAGCAGCTTTGTGCATCCTGCTACAGCGCGGGGTTTTGCTGGTGCCAGGGCTCTGTGCATGGATCTCTAGTGATGCCAGTGTCCTGCGGTTTGATGCCCGAAGCGGGTCCCTCTGCTGATGGGGAGATGGGAGCAACTGAGGCGGTGGCTTTGATCCTGTAGTAATAACAAATCGCTGGCTCGTACCTAGTTCTGTCCATCCCGTAGATCTCCAAGTGCTTTACAAAGGAGGTCGGGATCGTTATCCCCATTTTACAGATGTGGAAACTGAGGCAGGGAGAGACCTTTCCCATTCCATGATAGCTCCACGGGAAGGTGGAGAGTTGGGTTGACCCACAGCTTGTGTCCCACGGGAACCTGTGCAAGTGTGAGGATCAAGGGCTCCCTCTGCTGGTCAGCATGGAGCGGTGCTGGTGCTGGAGTCCCAACAGTGGCTGGGATGAGCTGTCCAGCAATACTTTTCCGTCGATTGATCTCTGCAGCTGTGGAATGGCTTGTTTCCATGGGGGTGACTCAGCTCTGTGCGTCTGTCTGTCCTCAGAGAGCCTGGAAGCCCCCAAAACGCTGCAAGAGGTGCAGGTTCCCCTGATAGACAGAGACACCTGCAACAGCCTCTTCAACACCGGCTCATACCCAGACGACCCTCAGGGGACTGATCCCATCAAGCAGGATATGATCTGCGCAGGGTATCCGGAAGGGGAGAAAGATGCGTGTCAGGTGAGACCCTGTATCCTATTCTCTGACTCCCTCTCCCCATACGCCAGTCAATCCCAGAGTGGAGCCGGTGCCCCCCAGAAGGGAACAGGCTCCGTGTCCCATTCCCCACCCACCCTGAGCCAGCCAGTTCCCGGCATGGGGCTGGAGCTGATGCCCCCTAGAGGGGAAAGGTCCCATGTCCCATTCCCTGCCCTCCTGAGCCAGCCAGTCCCCTGCCCTGGGGCAGGATCAGAGCCGGTGCCCCCTAGTGGGGAAAGGCCCCGCTCCCCATTTCCTGCCTCCCTGAGCCAGCCAGTCCCTGGCACTGGGGCTGATCAGAGCCAGCGCCCCCTAGAGGACATACCAGGAATTGACTCCATGGTTCTGCTGTCTGCAGGGCGACTCTGGGGGACCCTTGGTCTGCGAATGGGACAACGCGTGGCTCTTGGCTGGTGTGGTGAGCTGGGGTGTGGAATGCGCGCGCCCCAACCGCCCAGGGGTCTACATCCTGCTGCCCCCCTACGCCGACTGGATCCAGGGCTATGTCCCCACCATACCCTTCACCTTGCGTAGCATGTCCGTCATGCAGCACAACAGCGCTGCTGCTAGCCCTTTGGGAGCCCTAAGGAACATTCTGGGGACCTCCCCCACCCACACTAGACTAAAACAGGTAAAGCGGATAGGGGGCCCCCTTGGGCTGCTCGGGGCCCTAAGTCATTGCCTCGTCTACTTATGCCTAGTGCCCCCTCTGCCTGCCATGCTTCTCCTAGCTGCAGCTGTCCCCATGATCCTGTGAGATGCACCCCCCCATGCCCCAGCGCATCCCACCAGGCCCCATCAAAGCCCCCTCCAGATGGGGGTTCACAAGCAGTCAAGCCGTAGCTTCCCTCTCCCACCTGGTTCAATGCCAAATTGTGTCCCTATACCCTTCCATTCTCTGCCCCCCCATCCCTCTCTTGGGCTCTTTGCCAGCCACCCCATGGCCTCCTTCGAGGTCTCTTTACACTCCTCTGCTGGGCGCCAAAATATCTCTCTGCTTTCAGGAAGGGGCTGTTATTTCCTTTTCCTTCACTCTCTTTAATTATCTTTCCTGGCCTGTTACCCCTGCAGCTCCGCTTCTCTGGCCTGTTTTTCCCTTTCCACATTCTCTGCCTCAGTTTCCCCACCACACACCTGGACACCTTCCAAGACACTGGCATTGCATTGGCTTGCGCGGGGACCCCATCCTCATAGCCTCACTACCATGTGTGCTGCTGCATCAGCTGCTGCCCCACTGCCCCATCAATAGGCTTGTGCCTCAGAGAATGAGGAGTGGGTGCTGCATGCACAGATCCTGGGCAAGCCCATGGAGATACGGGGACAAGGTGACTTAGCCCTGCAGTGCCCCCATCTGGCCATGCTGAGAATTGCAGACAGTGACCAACCCAAGCCCCAAGATAATTTAAGTCCCCCTCCATCCCTTAGGGATCTGGGAGGATTTAAACCCATGGCAGGGATGGTGCTAAGAGCACAGCCACAAGGGATCATTGCGGTCCTCCAATCTAGCCTCATGCACGGCACAGCCCAGATGGCCCAACCCAGGCCTCCCTCCCTCCAGCCCATATGTGATGGCTGAGCTAGCACATGACTCTTAGAAAGGGTGTCATAAATATAGAGAGAAGGGTTGCATAAAGTCCCTCCTTGGCAGCTGTATGGAATCACCTTATCTGTAAGGGGTTAAGTAGGTCAAATAACCTAGTTGGCACCTGACCAGAGGGACCAATGAGGAAAGAAGATACTTTCAAATCTGCGCGGGGGGGGGGGAGGTTTTGTTTGTGCTCTCTCTTTGTTGTTACCTCTCCAGATGGAGAGAGAAGCCATTTCCTGAAAATATACCTGGAATAATCCATCTAAAATCACAGAAATTGTAAGTAGGGCAAGGAAATGCGTTAGGTTATCTTTGGTTTTAGCTTGTGAATTTTCCTATGCTACAAAGGTAGTTTTATTCCTGTTTTTGTAACTGTGAAGCTGAGCCAGAGGGGAATCCTCTGTGTTTTAAATCTTTTTATTTTCCTCTAAAGTTACTTTCCAGCCTGCTTTTGCAGCTGTGATTCTTGTACTTTTTTCTTTATAAATAAAGTTCTTCTTTTAAGAACCTGATTGATTTGCAGTGTCCCGAAGACAAAGGGTTTGGTCTGTGCTCACATTGCTAACCAATTCATTGGTATATTATTCTCAAGCCTCCCCAGGAAAGGGGGTGTAGGGGCTTGGGGGAATATTTGGGGGGGATAGGGATCCAAGTGACCCTTCCCTGAAATTTTGTGTAAATCACTTGGTGGTGGCAGCAATACCGTCCAAGGACAAGGAAAAGAATTTGTGCTTGGGGAAGATTTTTACCTAAGCTGGTAGAATATAAGCTTAGGGGGCCTGTAGTGAAGTGAGACTCACCGCTGCGGCGCCTCCTGCTGATTGTCCTGGGAATTAGCTCAATTCCAGGTCGGCGCATCCTCTGCTGGCCAATGGTTCACCTGCCACTGGCCCCAGTGTCCCTCCCGGACTCCGGTGCCCCTTACCCTGGGGGTCTGCCCCCAGCAGTAACCCCATCACACTCTGGGTCTCCCCTCCTAGGGGAACCCCCAACCCTCTAAACCCTCCTCGCCTCAGTGGCTACTGCCAGTCATCATCTAGCCCCCGCTCACTGGGGCAAACTGCATTCTGTAAAGGCCAGTCATCATTGACAAGGGGGTAGGACTAGCTGCCTCTGCCTATCCCCGGGCCGCCCCTCTGCAACCCCAGTACCTGCTTTGGCCCTTTCAGCAAGGCCCACAGCCTGGGGATTTACCAGGCTGGAGCTCCCCAGCTCCTCCTGCCTTTCCCCAGCCCTGCTCCGTTCCCTGTACCCTGAGCTCGCCGGCAGCCAGGTCCTTCCCCCTCCAAGGCTGGAGAGAGAGAGTCTCAGTCTCCTGGCCCCACATCCCTTTTATCAGGGTCAGCTGGGCCCTGACTGGCATGGCCCCAGCTGTGGCTGCTTCTCCTATTGGCTCCCCATGGCAGCCCTGTCCCAGGGCTGTTTTAACGCCTTCAGGGCCGAAGTGGGGTGACCATCCCACTACAGGGTCTTTCATGCGGATCCCCACATTTGTACCCCAGAGTTCAGGGGGAACCCTGATAAAGGGAATCCTCCATCCAAGCCCTATCTGCTAGCTGAGTTAGTGTGTGTCTGTTACAAAGGGAACATATCTGGTCGCTGTGAGGTCATAGGGATCTTGAACCCCAGTCTGCAGAGGACCTGGGAACAATCACATTCCAGTTTTCCACCAGGTAGCTTGCAGAGAGCAGCTAGGACTGGGGGCCATGAACCCTGACTGGGGTACAAGCTCCGCCCCTGCGCTCTCTCAGAGAGATCTCTAAGGCTCCTGATTTGGCTGTGGGTCTCTGAACCTGACTTGGTGTTCTTGGTAATAGACCCTTGATCCCTGTCATTTGGTTTCTCTCTTGATTCTCACTCCTGGCATTCCAGCCTGGCCTGGTTCCTCTGGCCCACGCCCAGTGCTAACCCCTAGGCTGCGCTCTCCCCGGCCTTTACAGCAGCTGGGCTAGCATGGGTCACTTATAAAGGGAATCGAGGGGTTCCCCATCCAGCCCATATCTGATAGCTGAGCTGGCATGTGGTTTTAGAAAGGGAATTCACTCTTAATTTCAATACTCCAAGAGATAGAGAATCCATGCGCCTCCCCACATAGGAATTTCCCCCAGAGATTAATGCTCCTCCCTTTTAAGGTGTTAATTGAAATGAAAAGATGAAAAAGTATGGAATAAAAAGCACTCTGACCACACAGTTTATCTGATGTGTGTATTGGGTTTCTCTGGTACTGATCGAGACAGGGGGCCTCCCCGTCGGGCTGGGTGCTGCAAAGACACATAGGGATAGACAGTCCCTGGGTACCTGGGGAAAGAGAAGAGCCCAGGGGAGGAGGAGGTATGGGGGGCAGAAGGGTGTGTGGGGATAAACCCCTCAGAAATGTCCACCGTCTGTACAAAGATCCCCATCTGGCACCAAGAAGCAGCCACCTCTGGGGTGAGCAGCTGGAGAACAGCCACACAGCGAGGGCTCATGGGAATGGGGCACCCAGCACTGAGACAGAGCCAGGGACTCAAAGTATGAATGAGTGAGTCACAATTTGGCCCGGACACCGGGGTTCAAGCCCTGGCTCCCGGGAAAAGCGCCAGGGGATTTACAGCTATTTTATATCTTGAGAACAGGTTTTAAAAAACCAAAGACTAAAAAGGAAAGACCGTGCAGAAAGAAAGAAAGAAAGAAAGAAAGGTATTGTCACGGAGTATTGGGGAACTCAGGGCCCTGCACCACCGGCTTCCTGCGATTCACCATGACTCTCAGCCAGCCAGTAAAGCAGAAGGTTTATTTGGATGACAGGAATACAGTCCAAGACAGGTCTTGCAGGCACAGACAACAGGACCCCCTCAGTTAAGTCCAGCTTGGGGTCCCAGGGCATTCCAGCCCACCCCCCCTTTGGGGGGTCAGAGCCATCTCTGCCTCCCAGCCATCTCTCCAGCTCGCTTCCAGCACTCTCCTCCAGCCCCCCACCCACAGCCTTTGTTCAGTTTCCCGGGCTCAGGAGTCACCTGGCCTCAACCCCTTCCTGGGTTCTCATGTTACATGCTCAGGTATGCGCCCTCGGGCAGACTCCCATCCTCCAATGCAGACTATCCCAGCCACACTCCCCTGTCAGCACTCACACACCCCAGCAAGAACAGGCCCAGTTCGTCACAGCAATATACACAGATTTTGCACATTCAACAATGTTGGTTCAGAAACAGTTCTGGTTGAATTGGTAGAGTCCCCCTACTGTGAAAGTATTTATAATGCCACAATGGTGTTCTGGGAGTGGGAGTGAGATCTAGTGGTTAGAGAGAGAGAGAGAGGATGCTGGGAGTCAGAACTCCTGGGTTCTATCCCCAGCTCAGGGAAGAGAGGTTTCCCACATGTTTGGAAGAGAAACTGAAAAAGACTTTTCCATCCTAGGGCTAATTCTGGGAGGTGGAATGCAATGATTCAAACTGGAGGTAGTGGGACTTGGTGAGTGGTGCGTTTGGCCCATCTGTGTGTTGTTTGACAGTTTGTTCATTCTCTGTGTATGGGCTGGGGAACTGGGCTGTGAGACCCTGACTAAGCCCTGGGAGTTTTCATCAGCCCAGCTGTTTGAAGCCTCCTGAGTGGCCAGTCGCTCCCTGGAGACGAGGGGCAGAGCTGAGCTGAGCGAAGTGTTGCGACTTGGTATAAAACGTCACTTGCTAGGTGAACTCGAGAGCCGTAAACAGAGGCAACTCACAGGGGAGTTTGGAGCAGGAGTGAAAGAGCTTTCCTTCCAGTTGCAGCACTCCGTGTGATATCAAGACAGCCAGCAATGGGACAGCAGAGGTGACCGGCAACAGACATCCATGTTCCCTTCCCTGCCTGAAGCCCGATGAGATTTCTTGTGCATGAAGTGCATGTTGGTGGCTGTGCTGGGGGGGGGGAGAGGGAAAAGTTCTTTGATTATAGGGGAAATTGATAATGGAAGCCAAGGGACACAAGGAGAAATCTAGGGCCAGCAGAATTAAGGACAATAAGAAGGAGTTTTTAAAATGTTTTAGGAGCAATAAGAATCCTGACAATGGTATTGGTCCATTACTAGATGAAAATGGTAGAATTATACATAATAATGCAGAAAAGCCTGAAGTATTCAATAAATATTTCTGTTCTGCATTTGGGTGGGAAAACAGCTGATATAGTCTCGTCGTATGGCAATGACAT